GGCTTGTACACAGACTTGTTGGTAATAACCTTCGGGGTGCGCCAGGTCGAAGGTCCTTGGGAAGCGGAAGCCGCTATCTGGCCTCTTGGCGGTGATGGGATCATGATCTTTCTTGTTGCTGGCCTCGACATTCTCGTGGTCCACGCGCTTCGGCTGGGAATCATCGACCGCCGGGCTCCTGCTGCGACTGGTAGGGCGTCGTGTTGGAGCATACCATGGGGTGAGGGCTGTCTCTTCGTTCTTGGGCGCCTTGTTCACAGAGATGGTCATAGCAAAGAGGGACTCCATGACGTGCACCTTTGGCTGCCCTGAAACATGTGAGCGCTCCACACTTGCGCTTCGAGGCTGCGCTCTGGTAGATTTGATGGTGATGAGTGCATAGTGCCACACGAGCCTGTTGTCCAGGTCCAGGCGGTCTCACATCTGAGACTTCGATGTCTTCATCTAGCAGGGTGGTTTGCTCCTGTGTGGCCAAGTCCCCACACCCGTCAGGCGCCACTGGCCTCATCTCACCATCCATGATGATCCCCATCCTCAGACATTGGCAGGTTGCTTCATCACCCTCCGCCTCCGACTCAGAGTCTGGGTCCAAGGAGCGCTCATGTCCGTCAGGTTCTCGAGTCGTCCTCGATCCGCTCCTGGTGCAGCACCTTCTGCAGACGCATCTCATAGCGCGGACGAAGCAACCCAAGCCACGCCATACTTCTTGAGGAAGTAGACCGAAGAGCCACCTAGGGGAGCCGTGTGCGTACGCGTGTAGATCAAGCAGCACCTCGTGGTCCACGCCCGCGAACTCCTGGATGTGAAGTGGATGTTCAGCTCGGCATTCAAATTGGCGACAAAGATGGACCTCACCAGCCTCCTCCAACTCTCTTCGAACTTCACTCGCAGCCCATCGCTATCAATCCTCCTCAACATGCTCTCCTCCTGGTAGAGGCGGGCTACGTGTCCATCACGACGAATCACGACATCGTTGAGGCTGCGGCGACTCCCGCGACCTTGGAGGCGCTGCTGGAGATAGCGAGTCTCCGTGGGCCAACAAGTCTTGGGCCCGTGCCACTCGACATCAGCGGTCGGCGGCCTAGAGCTCGGCAGGTGCGCCTCAATGCCCTCAACCCGCCTGCAGCAGCAAAGAAGACGCCCACAGAGATGAGTAGCCTCCCAACAGCCCGGCATGGTCCAGTTAGCGTGTGCGGGCTGTACGTGAGGATCCCAAGCAGGCCTATGCACATGCTCCCAAGGGAACCAACAGCTATGCACGCCCACCACTCTCCAAAGGCGTGCACTTCCATGCCGTCAAGGAAGTAGCCAGCCCAGCCACCCTCTCCTCGGAGCTGTCCAGGTCGTCCTGGTCGGCCAAACCAAGCTCCTCCATCACCATCGAAGGTCTTGTTGCTCATCCACAGAAGCCCCACATGCCTCCTTCGAGCCACCAGAACCCTCCAGTGACATCTTCTGTAGCTTCAGGCGTGGCTATCGGCAGCTGGCTCCTCGATGAAGACATCGATCGCTGGCGCCTCGTCCACGGCAAAGTTGAAGACCCATGTGCCATAGCCCAAAAGTGGCAGAACTATTGTCCGCCACATCTGTGTCATAGGGCCATCTGACAGTGGCCAAAAGCCTTTCCAGCCTAAAGCTGCAGGTGGCACGCAGTATGGAAAACCTTGCGTCTTCACCTTTCAGACTCTCATTTTCAAGAGAACTTCCCCTCCACCAAACAGGAGATTCAAACCAAATGGACGCCATGGATGCCTCCTCGTGCCGTGCTCAAATGAAGTCCTGTATTGTTATCTTCTTCATTATTCTTCCATGTACAAGGCAAGGTTCAAGCGGTTTTCGACACATTTTTTCGTTGAAGAGTCCGTTCAAAGATTGTAGCAGTATCTTGTCTGCACAAATGGCCAAAATATAATCTGGCTTGATCGTCTGACACATCACGCATGCATATGTTTGCCCATCTTCACCTGTCGCCCACCTGCCTCGAGTCCCAATGTCTGGGTGTTTTTCCACCCGACGGCATACCACAACATACCACAACCACCTTCCAGGACGACTGTATTGCAGAGATTCAATCATGGAAGGATCTCTCAGCGCCACATCAATGTTCCCGGCGCCACCGTAATGAGGGCCCTGGTGTACTGATGCTTGACTTCCGGAGCTTCCCTCAGAGCTTGGACCCAGACAAGAACAATGTATGTTCGATGTGCTGTCTTTCCCGGCCAGGTATGTGGTGTGTTTTGCCAAGCTGAAGCTAAAAATTTAAAAATACATTTAACTTGAAAAACGTGTGGCATCTGGCAGCTTTTGTGACATGGGACTGGCAGGAACCACAGAGGTTGTGCTGATGCTAAAAGGTTGTGTTGATACTTCTATGTGTAATGCCGAAAGCTGCTCCCCTAGCTGATTGTCTATCATGCTGTGGTAATGCAAAGGTGCTGCACTCCACCCTAACTACGAAGCTGCACAGGGTATATACTTTTGCATGATCATAGGAGAGGTCCAGAACTCAACAACCAGCAGGATGTCGAGCATCATCCAAGCAAATTCTTCGATAATTGTTCCCTTGTTGCTGAAACGATCAGCATGTTATGTAGGCATTTGTAGGCAGGGCACCTGTGCAAAAACGGAAGAAGAGCCTGACTCTGTCGTTCTGGCCATGTTTGCCACGGAATCTGTGGACGAGCCGGACTCTCCACCTTAGTGCGGCACCCCATGTGTTCTTTGAGCATGGCGCACGGCTAGGCCAAGAACCGCTCTAGGAACAAGACAAGTTCATGCTTCAAAGTAACTAGAGCATACTTTGACGGGGTCGCCAGACTCTTCAAGGACGTTTCCTTCGGAGGTTCTGGACTACCCCGCTCAAAAGCTCCTCTTAATCTTAATCCATTCAAAGTGTGTGTGTGTGTGTTCCTGTGTGACCTGTACTAAAGTGGACGTGGTTCATGTTCACCGAAACAGGTACAAATGGATGTACTCTTGGCATCACTTGCATCAATATGGGCTTTAAAGGTTGTGTAGACACTGGTGAGGAATTAGTGAAATACTGTACTCGAGAAGCAAGATGTCCTCGAGATCGTGAGTCAAATCCCTGACTCTGTACTCATTGCGTGTTCAGTGCAACAGCCGCACCGCTTGCAGCCCTTGAAATCATCGATCTCAGGAGCATGGAATGGATAGAATGGGAGCTGTTCTGAAACCGATGTGCACACAGAACTGGAGCTGCGTCCACTACCTACAAAACAGACACCGTCACGATGCTTTGGTCATCCAAAATGTGTACAAGTTGGAGACTCCAAACAGCAAACTTCAAAGCGCTCGTGGCCTGTGCTTTATTAACAGTTTCGACTGCAGCTGTGTCTTCAAGACACCTGTGTAACAGATGGAACCGACCCATAAATTATGTGTGTCAGAATGAAAGTGTTCGGTCATGGGTTGTAATGAACTAAATGCCTTGGGGGCCCCCCTATGTCTTTCAGAGGTTTTAGGAGGTCGAAACAGGACATGTTTCGGTCCTGAAGCTATCGGTCCTGAGGACATGTTAATTTGCTCGGCAAACTGCTGCGGGGAAAATGGCCGTGGAGCGGTAAGAATCTCTCACTCACCAAACGCCTAGTCGCTGGCCAAGTGCCGCAGGCGTGTAGTCGGTGGTATTGGCCAGTCTACCATCATGTCCAAGCGGTGCGCAAATCTGCACCTGCGATGCTCTTTTCTACTTGATACCTGAATTGAGGATTGCTGTCACGTCTTTTTCAAAGGGCATGATCCCTGAATCTGTTATGGAGAGTGAACCCAAGCAATTGAAACTTGAAACTGCCATGAGCAGGGATGTTGGACTATCACGCCAAGTTCTCTCAGGTCCAAGTGTTGCACTTCTTCATGGCTGAATTTGGGTCTGTATACGTCTCGCGCTGCGTGCTGGTGGAACTGAACGCACCTCTCACAGAAAATTGGTGGAGGGTAGAATAAATCCGTGCTCGGATTGTGTCAGAGTGCTTGTGCAGTTGGGTTAGTATGGAGGCTGCGCTGTCTACTGAATTAGCTGTGCTTTCAGTGAGCTGTGTGCAACTAGGCTCCATGCAAATGTACCCACTCAAGGGGTGTGTCTGAGCAAGCACTGTTGTTCCTTGCAAGTATGCATAGTGTAAGGACATTGCTTGAGCAAATGAATCGGTGTGTGCATTCTTGGCCTCCAGGCCTGTGGGAATTTAGGTTATCAACTGAGATCCTTCGGAACCTGCAGATCTAAATCTGGACTAGACTGTCAAAGAAAAGTCACCATCAAGGACAAAGAGAGGCAGTATCGTGCACCTCGCTCCACGAGTGCAGGTGTTGTTCGCATAGTATCTGCAAAGGACACTATTCTTCATCTCTGCCCTGGTCATGACCTTGGCAAAACACAAGACCCCGCCCAGACCGGGTGCACCAGGTCACGACCCACCGAAAACTGCGAGTCGTTGATCATCCAGTCGCTTCTCTGTGGAGTTGGGCCATGCAAGTCATTGACTTTACGTTTAGCGTCGAATTGCCTGAGTGCCCAAAAGACTCAGCGTGTAGCTTCATTACAGTTGTTATTTCGGAGAGCTGAAAGGGGGCAATGACTCCGAGCAGCTTCTCTAAGCGGAATCCCACTGCCATCTTGCCTGTCCATCTCGCTGCCGCCAAGTGCAAGCGATCAAAGGATCAAATCTAAAAGCATCTTATACAAACCATTCTGAACCATAAACACAGCTGCGAGAAGGGCAAGCTGCAGCACTCTCAGCTTCTTTGAGAGCGCCCTATTGTTGACATTGTTGACAGCAAACACAGTGTCTCCTTTCACCAGTAACAAGAGGTCCCAGACAAAACCACACTTTGGCTGATTCCAAAGCTGGCAAATCAAACGTTTGGGACTAGAAAGGCAGCACAAAGTGGATTCTCACCTGGGGTTGCAGTGTGAGGGCGTGAAAGTGAAAGCTATGTGGCTGAACGAGACAAGGCTCTTCGTACAGGTCACTACAGTCCTGCTGCCCTTCGGCGCAAACTGGGAGTAGCCAAATAGGCGTTCATGAACCTGGCACAGACTTGTCAAAATGGGAATTCCTGCTACGAACCCGAAAACTTGTCCTGTAAACATTGCGAATAATTCCTTGTTTCCTCTCATAAAGCGGGTCAAGACAATGTACTCTCCGCTACGCCCACTCCATTGGAGCCATTCGTGGACAAGTGTTTCAAACCGCAACGACGGGGGTCAGAGTGCTTCCGGCCCTTGTCGTTTGTTTTGGTCGTGCAGCACTGGAGTGCCTTTCCAGTGCTCCTGGCGCTCCAATCTGCATACCTGGGCATCCTTGGTGCAGGTCACGACGTAGGCTCGTGATTGAATGTCATTGCCGTCGCGAAGTTGAAGTTGCCAAATGGACATGAGAGGGTTGCACTCGGGTTACAACAACCCATACATTACTTGGCCCCCGCACCTTTCGCACACAGCGGCACAGGTTTGCAGACCACGCATCATCTGATCAGCTGGATTGGGGAGTAGAAGCCCTCCCGATGTTCAAACACACTTAGGACTTAGGACCAGCAAACCTCCCTTGGTGTCAAGGTCCTCTTTGCAGTCCTTCTTGAGGTCCTTCTTGCGGTCCATGTGCCGAGCATGCAGCTGACTGTGAACACCTCCAATGTGGGGGTGCCTCGCACCCGGTGGGCAGGTGCGGGCCACCGTGCCTCCGCTGCATCATGAGGGTTTTGCTCCGGACCGAGGACCTGGAGCAGAGTTGGAGCCCGAGGGAGCAGGAGTTTGGGTCGTCATGCAGTAGCGCCAACAAAACTGCTGCTATTTCTGTTGCTATTTCTGTTGTCAGAGACTAAAAGTGCCAAGCCCCACCGCCCACCCTCCGGCCATGCGAGCACCACCAGATGCCTGCCAGTGCTTGAGTTTTTTCCGCACCTTCTCGGTCAGAACCTGACGGCTGAAATCAGACGACTGCGGACAGGTTGTGGGAAGGAGGTGCAGCCGGTGCAGCAGCTCGAAGTCTTGCTTCTTAGTGGTTAGAATAGAACCATGCAGCAATCAAATAGAGAGAGAGAGAGAGAGTTCGCTTCATGTAACCAGAACGCCATTGGCAACACTTACCATTGCATGACTAGCTGAATCCAACTGCTCAAAGGAAAGCACTTGAGGACTCCAAGACGTGCGTTCCCCTGTTTCCAGTTCACACGAAAGAACTGCTACAGTTCATCTGCAAGCGAAGCTCATCAGAGTGTTGGATCAAAGAAGTAAGCAAAACAATGGAGGCCACATTGGAGTTGCAACAACTTTGAGAATGAGAATGCTACATGCTCCCTGCTCACCTCTGAACAACCTTCACAATCATATCTAGGTCGAACACAGTGAGATAAGCAATGCGATCAAGCCGTGCACGCCGAGATCCCTTCTCCCCGCATCAAACACGTTGCCTCCCTCGCCGACGCGGATGTTGCCGCGCCTGCATGCTCGCACGCTCTTCCACTGGAAAGTGGTGGAGGTCAAAGAAATCTGCCACCTGGGCCATGAGAGCCACAGGGGTGTGGGCGGATCGGATTAAGCAGAGAAGCCTGTCGAACAAGGACGGTGAAGGTGATCTCAGCCACTAGAAACCAGCATGCGAAATCTTCGTGTTGCAAATGATGCCGCCAGGTTAATAAACTACGCCAGCACAAACCTGAGATGGCACAAGATATATACTTATGGGCAGCATGACACCAGCACCCACACTCCAATTCATGCACAGCCATAAACATCTGGCAGCCGCCCTGCAGCGGCCTGAAGCAACACCAACACGAAAGCTCCATAGTTCAAACTGCCATCAAATGTTCGGTCTACGCAGTGCCCATCATCAAGACCTCACCTGGAAGTTGAGGCAAGAGATCCAAAGAAGAAAGCGGTTTAAAAGGAGCTACCTCATGTGCAGGAGGCAAGGCCCCCGCGAGTTTGTGGTGCGGAATGTACCCCAAGTCTCACGCAACGTAACACGTGCAACTGCGCAGTGCGGGAAAACATCCCTCTCAAGTTCTTGTCAGCCATGCTGAGCTGCAGTGCCCAGGATAAAGCTGTATCCTTTGGATCTTTTAGGCTGTGCAATGTGTAGCCATTGGCTTGCACAGGCTCAATACCCCCCCACCGCGATCAACAAGCGACGCAGCAGACCAAGTGCGTAGAGCCCCATAGCGACCAAGACAACTTTTCAAACCAGATCCGACCAAGACAACTGAAGGATGCATAAACCGCAAGTGGACGTTTTCATGTGTCAAGCCAACACGATCCCTCCCCGATGCAGCTTGCTGATGTAAGTGATGCTGCAGCTCTTGCATCTTCTGCATCACCAACTCACCAAAAATAGTGTCCACCAGGACGTACAAACACCAGCAGTCTACTATGATTTAGGTCCTCGCATCCACATCCGCACCCCAGTTCCATATATGTTTGGCATGTTCCGTCATTTTCCAAAGACTGGAAAGGTCAAAGCCTTGGTTGTAAAAAGCAGTGGGCATTGTTGATCAACTAGTCCTTGCAATCTTGGCCAGTCCTTGCAAATCAATAATATACAAGACTATACGATTGATTGGTAAGGAACTGTCCAGGCGTTGACACCCACTTGGATTTGAACCTCTTAACTTCCCTCATCACACATCCGCACCACCCCAAAAGATGGCTGAGAGTCGGTACGGACGATGTGCTTGGGATCTCGCTGTACCTTGCCATGTACCTCAAGCTGCCAGAACCACATCCAACGAATGCAGTGCAACAGCGAACTGACGAAAAGCCCTGGCGCACCATGCAAACGGCGAGAAGCGTCGTGCCACTTGCAGCTGATAGATCTTTTTGGAAGCTTGGAAACGTTGAAAGTTAAGCCGTGGCATCATCTCCCTCTAAAGGAGAGCTACGCCCATTGCCGCCGCTCCCGCCGCCACCACTACTGCTAACACCATAAAGTACAACTCCTATCCCTCATTGCTGAATTTAAAGAAAACGCTGCGAATACAGCAAATACCCTAAGCTACTAGGAACAAGTGCATCGGTACTAGGAGCAAGTGCCTTACTAGTAGTAACAAGAAGCTATTAATTTAGATTTAATTCTAATAGCTTTGTGTTACTACTAGTAAGGCACTTGTTACTACTAGTAAGGCACTTGTTACTACTAGCGTGGCACTTGTTTCTACTAGTAACAAGAAGCTATTAATTTAATTCAAATTTAATTCAATTCTAATAGCTTTTTGTTACTACTAGTAAGGCACTTGTTACTA